GGGGGGGCGGTGGTGCTGGGGAGAACCGTGGTGCCAGCAGTGGTTGTCGTTCCTCGCTGGGGGAGGGTGGAGGGAGTAGTGGGTGATGTTGGAGTCTGGGTTGTCACAGCGGAGGTCTCTGCTGGAGAAGACGTGGTGCCTTGTGTTGGAGGGGGAGAGGTCTTGGTGGTGCTGGCCCTGCTAGTGGTTGTGATGATGGTCGTGCCTTCTGTTGGAGGGGCAGTGGTACTGGGGAGAACCGTGGTGCCAGCAGTGGTTGTCATTCCTCGCTGGGGGAGGGTGGAGGGAGTAGTGGGTGATGTTGGCGACTGGGTTGCCGCAGTGGAGGTCTCTGCTGAAGTAGACGTAGCTGTGGAAGTTGTGGTGCTTCCTGTGGTGGTCCTGGAGGTCCTGGTAGTGCTACTGGCTGAGGTGGGCACTGCTGGTGTTGGTGTGATGGTGGTTGTGCCTGGTGTTGGAGGGGGAGAGGTCTTGGTGGTGCTGGCTCTGCTAGTGGTTGTGATGATGGTCGTGCCTTCTGTTGGAGGGGCAGTGGTACTGGGGAGAACAGTGGTGCCAGCAGTGGTTGTCGTTGCTGGCTGGGGGAGGGGGGAGGGAGTAGTGGGTGATGTTGGCGACTGGGTTGCCGCAGTGGAGGTCTCTGCTGAAGTAGACGTAGCTGTGGAAGTTGTGGTGCTTCCTGTGGTGGTCCTGGAGGTGCTGGCAGTGCTACTGGCTGAGGTGGGCACTGTTGCTGTTGGTGTGATGGTGGTTGTGCCTTGTGTTGGAGGGGCAGTGGTACTGGGGAGAACAGTGGTGCCAGCAGTGGTTGTCGTTGCTGGCTGGGGGAGGGGGGAGGGAGTAGTGGGTGATGTTGGCGACTGGGTTGCCGCAGTGGAGGTCTCTGCTGAAGTAGACGTAGCTGTGGAAGTTGTGGTGCTTCCTGTGGTGGTCCTGGAGGTGCTGGCAGTGCTACTGGCTGAGGTGGGCACTGTTGCTGTTGGTGTGATGGTGGTTGTGCCTTGTGTTGAAGGGGGGGGGGTGTTGGTGGTGCTGGCCCTGCTAATGGTTGTGATGATGGTCGTGCCTTCTGTTGGAGGGGCAGTGGTACTGGGGAGAACCGTGGTGCCAGCAGTGGTTGTCGTTGCTGGCTGGGGGAGGGGGGAGGGAGTAGTGGGTGATGTTGGCGACTGGGTTGCCGCAGTGGAGGTCTCTGCTGAAGTAGACGTAGCTGTGGAAGTTGTGGTGCTTCCTGTGGTGGTCCTGGAGGTGCTGGCAGTGCTACTGGCTGAGGTGGGCACTGTTGCTGTTGGTGTGATGGTGGTTGTGCCTTGTGTTGAAGGGGGGGGGGTGTTGGTGGTGCTGGCCCTGCTAATGGTTGTGATGATGGTCGTGCCTTCTGTTGGAGGGGCAGTGGTACTGGGGAGAACAGTGGTGCCAGCAGTGGTTGTCGTTGCTGGCTGGGGGAGGGTGGAGGGAGTAGTGGGTGATGTTGGCGACTGGGTTGCCGCAGTGGAGGTCTCTGCTGGAGTAGACGTGGCTGTGGATGTTGTGGTGCTTCCTGTGGTGGTCCTGGAGGTGCTGGCAGTGCTACTGGCTGAGGTGGGCACTGTTGCTGTTGGTGTGATGGTGGTTGTGCCTTGTGTTGGAGGGGCAGTGGTACTGGGGAGAACCGTGGTGCCAGCAGTGGTTGTCGTTGCTGGCTGGGGGAGGGTGGAGGGAGTAGTGGGTGATGTTGGAGCCTGGGTTGCCGCAGTGGAGGTTTCTGCTGGAGTTGATGTGGTCTGGTAACCTGTTGTTGAGATAAGTGATGTCTTTGCTCTAGGTGAAGTTTCAGTCAGAGGAGTCGTGCTTTCTCTGTCTTTTGGTGACATTGTAGGAACTGTGGTTTCTTGCGCTTCAGTTCCTTGTTTTTGTTTTGTTGGTTTTATGGTTGTCTGTAATGTAAATGGTGTTGATTTTACAGCAGTAGTTGTTGTGAATTCTTCTGTGGTTCTTGGTGTTGTAGTTCGTATTTCTGAACATGGTATGTATCTGCAGCATGATATTCTGATTTCATAATTATAGCAGTGCCTAGATTGTTGGTCTTTGTTATTGCATATTAATCCTATGCTTTGATTACATTGTACGGTTTGGTTAAGATTGTTTATTTCTATATCTGGGTGTTCTTTGGCTCTGCATTCAACACCCTTTGGGTTTTCACACACATTGTATCCTTTATCTCTGAGATTTTCAAATGTTTCATAATCTCCACTGTCCTCTTTGTTTTCAGGCTGTGTGCAGTCATACCATTCTGACCATGCACATATGTTCTTCACACATACAGTTGTCACTGGAGTTGTGGTTGTCATTTCTGTAATTAAAAGGAGGAAATGTAAGTCTTGTCTGTTCTTATTAAAGAAGGTGCCAGGAAAAAATTATTCATCTTCCATACATTTTAATGTTGTATGTAATATTATATATGTTAATGTAGTATTTTAATTTCAGTGAACTTGCTTTGACAGTCTTGAATTTCATTTCTAAGGTAGGTTTTGATCTCAAGTCTGTATTATTTTTCTAGTGGTACTTTATGTGACATTTATGAAAAAAATGTATTTAAATATAGCTAATATGACACCCTTTGGGTGGAAAGTCAATGCATAGGATAACGTGATCTCATGATTGCTATTGGTATAAGTAAGAGGAGGTTTTATTCTTCTTGGTATTATCTCTGTACTTATTTACATTTAACTGCATAACCACACAGGCTTTAAAATATTTCTACAGGTTAATGACTTTTCTACTTATTTTAATATTATAACAAGTAATATATTTATAAATATAAAGTATAAAATATATATTTTACATGTGTATTTTATATATAATACATTATAATATAGAATACACATATACAATATATATGAAATATATAGTAAGTATTTTCTGCTTATTTTAATAAGATTTCTTTTCATATTCTTAGCATTATGAAGATATGTGGAATACATACCACTTTCTTCATATGAATGTTACTTAATAGAAGACCTGAAGTTGAATATTTAGTTCTTGCTGTAGTATTGTATAATTTTGTTGAAATATTTCTCACAATTTCTCAGAATTACATGGTCCCTATAATGAGTTAACTGCAGGAATAATGTAGAGGTGTACTGCAGGACTAGAAGGAAACTGTTGATTTGGTTATTAAATACAATTAGGAAAGGTTCCAAAGAATGGTTTTAAATAATTTAAGCATTCCCTCAAACTAGATTTCTTATCTTTAGTTTGCGCTAATGTAGTCAGTAATTTAAAAAATGGCAGTAATTGTCTTTTGTGTTTTCAGAAGTTGGTCTAGAACTGCTGGTTTTTGTTTGCAAGGAAGTGAGGAGATTCTCCAGGGTGCAATGACTAATAAGCTCTGTTTTTTTTTTTTCCCTGGAAAAACCATGATGAAACAGTGGATACTGAGTTTGTAAAAAATGCTGTGCTCATTTCTTGATTATGGTCTTCTTTAGCAACTGAAGCTGCCAGTGAATTGGTGGCTCCAGCAGAAGTCTACAGTTTCAAGTGAAATTATATGCCATTATCTGATGAAAAGGCCCTCCCTTTCAGGGAATTTTCAGTCCCTTCCAGAGATTTTTCAGTTATTTTAAAGAGTATTCATACGTACCTGAAGTTGTGGGCTGACTTGTAGAAAATGGAAATGTGATAACTGTAGGTATGTCACATTTATAGATATTTCTGTTTATTGTTCCATTGACATCACATGTTGCATTGAAACACCATCCAACTCCATCTGTGATGTTGTAGATGAGTTCACCATATTTATATCTCTTCTCTTCATAAATGCAGTGACACGCTGTAATGCAGAAGTTTATTGTCAGGCATCTATGAAAAGATAATATCCAGTATTTCATTTTCTTAATAATTCTTCCTAGCTTTCTTACCTTTATCATCAAATTTGCACTGTAAACCTTCTGATGTGCATTCACTGAAATAAAAAAAAACATAAAAACCCACATACTTTTTGATTATGAGGTAATTTTATTAGTCATCTTTCTGCCAGATACTATCTTCAAAAGACAGGATACTTTGTGTTTATTCCTTGTGTGTCCAGTTCATGTTGGCTTCTTTTTTGCCCTTGTTTTCCAAAATCTTTCTTTATATTAAACCCAAACTTATAAATAGAAGTGAAGCTAAATATTATGCAAAGCTACAGGTAGAAGTCTTAAGGAAGACTTTCCTTCTTTCCTCCTTATCTCTTTCCTTGCACTTGCAATGCTTTTGTACTAAAAAGAAGGAAAGCAGTGTAAGAATGTAATAAAAGTGTAAGAATTTTATTATTACTACAATAATACTACAAGCAGTGTAAGAATGTAAGAAAATCCTTGGAAGTGGATCCCTATTAGACATCTATACTCCTGGAACAATACTTTTCCTGCCATAGGAATGGGAAATAGAGAAAGCCTCATCATAAAGAACTTACTGTTCTTGTGGTATCTTTATGCTGAGGATTTACAACATAATCAGGAACAATAAAATCACATAAGAACTTCTTACTACTAATGTAGTAAGAAAACTGGCATTAGATAGTAAGGCATTATTTTTACACAGGCAGCATAAACTAGTCCTGTCACGTAACAGGAACATGCAATTTTCCACTGCTGTTTCAATCGTTTTTCCTTGTACACAATTAGGCTGGTATGTTAAGTCTTACCATAAATGACATTCATCCCGTCTATATATCTTTCCATTTTCATTATCATAACAGTCACAGAGACTGACGCACTTCATATCATCCTCATGAAAATATGGCTTGTCTGGTGGGCAGTTAGGGTAGCAGCCTGAAGGAAGGAGAAGGGCATATAGAAGGTAGAAAAGGCGAGAATGAGATACAGACAGCATAAGTTTTATTTGTGCAGAATGTGTTTGCAGGTCTTGTTTTTAATAGTCATAATTTTTACTACTTAATTTTTTCCAATCATTCTAGGAAGTAATGCAGAGTACCAGCATGAGCAGAGCCCACCCACAAGCACTTAGTCCTAGAGACGGTTTTAACTCCAATTTCCATATTCTGCTTCCATTCCTGTGGATGCAGTGATGTTGAAGAGAATTGAATGGTGCAAATGCAGCTGATGGGGGAAATACACTCCATTAAAGACCATTAAAAATATAATAAAATGTACCCGCTTAAAGGTACTTGCAGCTCTTTTTACCTTCTAAACCTGGCAAGTTATGGAGGCATTTTCCACTTGGGTTCCTACAGGTCTTCATACAGGAGGCTCCACAAGGCTTATAGTGCCATTCACATTCCCCTTGTTGATTGTAGTAATCACAGAACAGTGCTAAGGAGAAATAGAAATTTGGACATGTTCAGAAAAAAAAAAAAAGAGCTTTTTTTGACTCATGTCTGTTCATCATATCCCTCCAATGCTGCTTGAACAGTCTTGAAAAGCGTGAATGAATAGGTGAAATTGTGTGACCGTCAAAACAGCTTAGTGTGAAAAGTCTACATAGTGAGATTATAATGCATATACGTAAGATACCCAGAGTATGTGATCAAGGACATCAGCAAGGCACTGTCCATTTAACTACACTCTCAGAAGAAGTGTTTATGACATAAAACTCACGACAAATTGATGGGGTTCTCCAGGCTATGCAGACACCAACTTCACTACATGCTTGAGCATAGGCAGCTACTGCTGTACAAAAGCAATCACAGTCTCCTCCAGTGTCACATGCACAAGCATCTGTCACACATGCTTGGTAATATTTTGCTGGTTCAACCTGTTATTAGAAAGAAATGTAATACTAGACATCCTGCCTCCTAAATTCTTTCTTAGCTTTGCTAGGGTAATTTTCTAAAAATTGTAATATCTCAGAAGAAAGGCCTACATCAGTAATTTCTTTTTCTTTTGTTTATATACACTGTTAAACACCAGAGGTGATGCCAGATGATACATCCAAATCACATAATGACAGATTTTTAGATGCCCAAACTTGTGTCCTAGTGGAAGATTAGATTCATGTTCCCAAGCAATTATAGGCAACCACACTTGAAAATGAGGGTCTCTGCCAATGGAAAGAACTAAGGTAATAGGAAGAGCACAGAGCTACCCTGCATTGTTTGGTATGTACTTAGTGTCAGATAAAGGCTATGCTGATACTTTATTACTATGTTATTTTTTCATGAAGCTTGTGTTCTGTACATGGTATATGAGAATTTTTATTCAAGTCACACTACAAGAAAATACACAGTAATTATGAAATTATTATTCTTTCATAATAGGCTGATATTTCCTATGAAGTAAATGTCCTCTCATTTCTTACAGGTAGGGACTATAAATCTGTCCTATTGAGTGGGATTCAAATTGAAGTTTTCCTGACACGTTTCAAAGTGAAACATGCTAATGAATTAGGCATGCATGTTAAAATGTATGAGGATAGCAGCTTCAATAATACACAGACCTAGTCTTCACACAGTAAACTTCTGCCCTGGGTAGTACCTGAGAGTGACAGGCAGCAAAGACGTTGCTGTTGATGATGCTACACTGCTTCTCTGACCAGGACTTTCGATAAGGGTTGGTAGAACATGGATCCTTTATGCTGTAAGCATCAGGACATGTAGAGGATACTTTCCAGCTGTTTCCAAACTCTAGGACATTCTCTACCACAGACTGACTCCTTGTAGTAAAGTCATTGATGCCGTTGCCATCGTAATTTCCACAGAGGCCACAGATCTGGCCCTGCAAAAGGAAGTAAATAATAAATGGATGTGAGGAACGTGAAATGACATCTGGGACTGAAAGAATACTTGAAATTCAGCTCTTAGAATGGTGCCATTCCATTCTAACATTCCTGAACATCTTCATCCTTTGTTTCCTCAGCAACAGAACAACCAAGGTTAAAAGGATACTGCTGTTGACTTTTCTTCTTTTAAATCTGAACACTAAAACCATCTTTGCATTGTAACCTTCTGTCTTTGAGGTGTGTCTTTAACAAACAAATGAGGACTCACAGTTAGCCGACTAAGCTTTTAATTCAAGCCTTGTTTTATACAATAGATGTACATATAAAAAACAGCCTTACAAAGCTGTCGTAAATACTACCAGTCCAGCCACGTAGTCTACTCTTTGAGTCTTTAGTGTTATGACTGCTCACAGGTATAAAAAGAAACAACATTTTCCTTGCACATCCAGAAATATCCCTCATTCTAAATTTATAGATCTGTAAAACTGTGATAGGCTACAATAGATGCTATGCTTTCTCTATGAATCTAAGGTGCATACTTTCCATATTACTACTATTTTTATAAAGTGCCAGTGGGTGAGGCAGCAAAAGAACCTATGACACTTAAATAAATTTGTATATCTAGTTCTAAATTACACTTAATTTACATACCTAATTGAAATGTCATTGTGTTATACAATAAGATAGCAAATTCCTTATTTACTAGTTTTTAGTACTTACAAGCTAGGAGAAGGAGTGTGACAAAAGGAATACATTTTCCTTATCAGCTGGGTAGATATATGCTTGAAAAATACATGGTAGCATTTTACAAGAGGCTTTCACTCATAATATTTCACTTCCTTGTTCTTGAACTATGATAATTTTATTTGTGTGTCAATGAGAACAGGAAACAGGATTACTTTCAAGATCAAGACTACTCAATTGATTTCTACACATGTAGCTATGTAATTTTAATAAGGTCTGATAACCTTTACAAAGGTTCAGTGGGTAATTTTAACAAAGCCAAGTCCAAAAAAGCAATTTGCCAACTCGAGTTCTGTCAGGCCAAATAGGCACTGAAAGCTGCCTTCAGAGCTCAGAACAGCAGCAGGATGATGACATGGCTTCTGAGGCACCAGCAGAATGAAAAACAACATTG